TTTTTTACAATTTTAGATAATTTTGAATACGAGAACCTTGTTATTTCTATAAAAGTAAAGATTTTGGAAACTTTTATATAGATAAGTTTTCTAATTTAAAAAAATTTAACTGTGTGTATGGTTTTTTAAATGTTGGTGCTTTTTCGGTTTATTTAGTACATTATTTTTGGTCATTTGGTCCAAATTAAAAGACTCATTTATCATCCCTGATTCAAATGGATCGCTCTTTGTAAATTTCAATTGGAGATCATTGAATATTATCAAAATCACGCTCTGCCAACTTAATTTTTACATATTTCGTCTTTTTTCCTTAATTTAATAAAATACTTCTTCCTAGTTACGACCACAGTATACCAGTAGAAAAGGTTTTTGTTGTTCTGGCTGTAAATTTGGTCCCCATAAAGGACTTCAGGGTTGCGAGCAACTGTTTTGCCGCATTCAGGGTGCTGTGCAGCAAAATAATGTGGTGAAAAATTTTAACATCGGATAAATGGCGAGAGAAATATTGTTATGCGCTTTATAAGTAAACATGAACGTAATAAAATATTTTATACTTCAATCCAACTAATTAGCGCTATTTTTGCAATTCGAAATGATCTTAAAAATATTTGTTGTGAAATACGTACCTTATGAGTTAAATGGAAACTATCTTATATGTAAAAATATATTCCGATTTACTTCAAATAAATTATGTAAAATGTGTTATATATGGATCTAATTTTAATAATAAAATTTATTACTTTCATCTACATTGCTTTTATTGCAAGTTTTCACGAGTAGTTGCAGTTTTCTGCAATTGTCTCTGGCCGACTATACATGTTAAAGTCAAATAATTTCACAATTTGTACCCTATTAAAGGTTTATATTTTAATAAAATGTGATCAATTATTTAAGAATATATAAATTCCGATCAAACTATAGTACTGAATGCTTGACAAATAATTATTTAAATCAAATGATCAATAGTGAACGCACTCGGAGTGAATTTTGGAGCACGGAGCGAATTATGCATATTAAGACTAAATAATTTCTAACTTTCTAAAATATTATACGTTTATATTTCAATGTAATATGATTAATTACTGAAGAATATATAAACTCCGATCAAACTTCACTACTGAATGCTTGACAAACAATATTTGAATCAAAAGATCAATATTGAACGCGCTCGGAGCGAATTTTGGAACACGATATAAAATATGCATGTTAAGACTAAATAATTTCTTATAAGCTTATGGTCTTATTCATAAAAAAAAGTAGCTTTAAAAAAGGTTTATAAACTGAAAAATGTATGAAAACGTCACTTTGTAAAGCTCTTTAAACCTCCTTTATTTTTTATGAATAACACCATTATGTTTTAATATAATATAATTAATTACTGAAGAATATATTAACTCCGATCAAACTATAGTATTAATTGTATGACAAACTATTTAAATCAAATGATCAACAGTGAACGTGCTCGGAGCAAATTTTGGAACACTTCATAGAATATTTACAGAGGAACCAAATAATATAGGTAGAGATCAAAATGTATTTAACAAAGTGTGATTGAATTTGATATTGCTCTCAGAAGAACCATCCTATAAAGTCAAATTGAAAAAAAAATTTTATGAATTTTGAATCGTTTGTTTATATTTTTTTACATAATAGTATCTTAAGAGAGCCGCACTGAGTTGTTAATAACACCTTGTGTTGCAAAACGCCCATCCCTGACGCGTTAAATATTCATCGATGTAAGCTCATCGCTGTTTTCGAACTTCCTTTTGTTCCATTCGCTGCACTTGCGAATGATAAATTTAGTAGTGTCGTGAATATAGCAGAGGAAAAGCGCAAACTGCGGTGAGTATATTTGTAGTGTTCGTAAATTTGGTCATTTTATATGTTGTATTAAATTCATGTACATTTTTT